TCCGTGCATCTCTTCTCTGTTTACACTCATTCCCTAGGTGTTCTCTTTCAAGACTTTAAATGCGATTTGTACTCTGACAATTCTCAAGTGTATATCATCAGCTTGGATGTCTTCCCCTGAACTTAAGACTCTCTTATCTGACTGCCTGCAGGATATCATCTCCACTTGGTTATTTAATAGCTTCTTGAGCTTAACATATTCAGCAAATTAATTTTGAAACTTCTCTCAAATGTGTACCTCCGGGAGCTACCCATTGGCTCAGGCATTTGGGCATCTGGCTCTTGGTTTCAGCTCAGGTCATGATCCCCTGGGTCATAAGATGGAGCCGTGTGTCAGGCTTCATGCTCAGTGGGGAGTCTGCTTGAGGATTCTCTCTCTCTGTCCCTTCCTCTACTGGAGCGCGCTCTCTCTCTCTCTCTCTCTCTCTCTCTCAAATAAATAAATAAATAAATAAATCTTCAAACGTGTACCTCTGCCAGTTCCTCCCCATTTTAGTTTCAGTTGTATTGAATGTATGGAGGACTCTCCCTTGACTCGGTTCTTTTCTTTTTAAAGTTTTAATTTATTTATTTGACAGAGAGAGAGTGAGAGAGCACAACCCAGGGGGAGCAGCAGAGGGAGAGGGAGAAGCAGGCTCCCTGCTCCCTGATGCAGGACTCAATCCCAGGACCCTGGGATCATGATCTCAGCGAAGGCAAACGCTTAATTGACTGAGCCACTGAAAAAGGTGCCCTGGCTCTGTTCTTTTTCTTACTTTCCTCATATAGTCCACTAGCAGGTCCTGTAAGTTCTACCTTAAAAAACATCCAGGATTTGAACACTTCTTACTGCCTCACCTGCTACTTTTGGAATAGGCTTCCCTTGGTCTAACCTGAACAGTGATCCTGTTAAGTGTCTATCAAATCATGCCACTCCTCTGCTGAGAAGTGTTGTCTGGGTCCCACCCATGTTAAAAATTAAAGTCCTTACAGTGGTCTAGGAGGCCACATAGGATCTTCAGCAGCACTCTTGAGGCTGTTCCTGATGTCATCTATCACATTCCCCTTGTGCTCTGGACACTTCGGTCTCCTTGAAGTTGCTCCAACATGCCACACCTTGGACTTCTATAGTTGTATTCTTTCCTGGAATACTTCTTCCAGTTACCAGTATGGCCTCCTCCCTTACCTCCTTCAGGTTTCTGCTTTGTCGTCTAGTTTGTAAAGCATTCCTTGACTTCACTATTTAAAGTAAAACCATCTCCTGCTCTCTGCCTTCACCGTTCCCTTTCCCTACTTAATTTTTTTTCCATAGACGTTATTACTGTTTGATGTACTATTCATTCATTATTCATATAGTTATTGAGCTACTACTATGTGCCACGCACTGTTCTAGAGATTCTCTCTACCATAGTTTGTTTATTATTGGTCACCTGCCACTGAAATGTAAATTTCATGATAGCTAGGACTTTTTTTTGCTTGTTGCTATATCACCATCTCCTAGAATAGTGCCTAGCACTTGGGAGTTGAATGAATATGTTTTTTAAATTAATGTATAGGGGTTATGTGCCAGATAATGAGGGGAAGATCTGTATGAATAACATATTGTTTCTGCCTTCAAGTGACGCAGTCTAAAAAATGTTTTGATCTGAATACTGCTGTGCTCTCTAACAGGATAAAGTGATACACCATTTTGAAATTGGGGAGGTAAGGACAGGTTTGCAAGGATACGGCTCTCCTTAGAGATGAAGTCCTACTTTGTCAGGCTTATTGATAATTTGTACTATTTCTGGGAGGGCAGGATTGCTGATAGCTCATGGGATTAGTGGCTTTTTGAGTTACAGTTTTTCTTTGGTCTTGTCTTACTAGAGCAGGAGTTTCTTTAAAATCCTGTTATCAGTCTTGGTTCATTCAGATACCTTCTAGGAACCCACTGTCATAGCCACTTCTTCTCAGCATAAGTGAAGGAGTTTTCTATCTTTATCTTCCTCCATATCTGAAAATTCTTTTCCAGAAACCCTGGTCACCCATGTACTAGCTGTTTGGTCTTGAACCTCTCAGAACCTCAGTTTCTGCACTTGTCAAATGGAAATAATGATGAATGACACCTATCTTCTTGTGAGGATTAAATGACTAAAGACTGATTTTGAGAATGGGGGAGTAGAAAGGGAAAAGAGATAGAGGACAATTTCTTTTCTTTTTTTGTGGGGAGGGGCAGAGTGAGAAGGAGAGAGAGAGAGAGAGAGAGAATCAAGCAGACTCCATACCTAGCACAGAGCCTGACATGGGCTTGATCTCAGGACCCTGAGATCATGACTGGAGCCAAAATCAAGAGTTGGATATTTAACCAACTGAGCCACCCAAGGCGCCCTAAGGACAATTTCTTTCTTTCTTTCTTTCTTTTACTTTTTAAAGATTTTATTTATTTAGGGAGGCCTGGGTGGCTCAGTTGGTTAAGCCGCTGCCTTCAGCCCAGGTCATGATCCCAGGTTCCTGGGATCAAGTCCTGCATTGGGCTCCTTGCTTGGCAGGGAGCCTGCTTCTCTCTCTGCCTCTGCCTACCACTCTGCCTGCTTGTTCTCTCTTTCTCTGACAAATAAATACATAAAATCTTTAAAAAAAAAGATTTTATGTATTTATTTGACAGACAGAGATCACAAGTAGGCAGAGAGGCTGGCGGGGGGTGGGGGGAAGCAGGCTCCCTGCTGAGCAGAGAGCCCAATGCATGGTGGCTTGATCCCAGCACCCTGGGATGGCGACCTGAGCCAAAGGCAGAGGCTTTAACCCACTGAGCCACCCAGGCACCTGACAATTTCTTTTTTTTAGTGAATAGTGTATATTTCTATTTTGAAAAAATTAAAAAAAATTTATTTATTATTTTAGAGAGACAGGGAGCAGGATTGAGAGCATGTGTTGGGGTAGAGGAAAGGGTGGAGAGAGAATCTCCAGAGGACTCCCAATAGAGCATGGGGCCCAATCAAGTGTGGGGCTTGATCCCACAACCCTGAGATCAGGACCTGAGCCAAAATCAAGAGTTGGATTTATAACCAACTAACCCACCCAGGCGCCCCTTGAAAAAAAATTTTAACGTGTGTATGTTTCTTTTCTAGTGAGAGGAGTGAAGATTTTTTAATTCAATTTTACTTTTTAAAAGATTTTATTTATTTATTTGACAGAAAGAAACATAGTGAGAGAGGTAACACAAGCCGGGGGTGTTGGAAAGGGAGAAGCAGGCTTCCCACTGAGCAGACCCTGGGATCATGACCTGAGCTGAAAGCAGACGCTTAACAACTGAGCCACCCAGATGCCCCTGAAGATTTTGTTTTTAAAAACAAAGGTGTTAATACATTGTTTTTTTACAGAGTAGGAGGTTTTTTTGTTTGTTTGTTTTGCTTTTTGAGGTTTCTGGGAGTTTTTTTGGTGCAAAAAGATTTTATTAAAGCAGGGGGACAGGACCCATGGGCAAAAAGAGCTGCTTTAGAGTAGGAGGTTTTTAGAAAATACGTCCTTGTCTTTCCACACAGATACTTACTTCTGTAGTATGAGGGCAGTAAAATACTAGAACCCCACCCCAGGCTGCCCAGTGAGCTGGTGTACCATTTTCCTTCCTCCTTTCTTTTTTTTAAGATTTTATTTATTTATTTGACATAGAGAGAGAGAGATCACAAGTAGGCAGAGCAACAGAAAGAGAGAGAGAGGGGGATGCAGGCTCCCCACTGAGCATAGAGCCCAATGCGGGGCTTGATTCCAGGATCCTGAATCATGCCCTGAGCCGAAGGTAGAGGCTTAACCCACTGAGCCACCCAGATACCCCAACAACCATTTTCTTTCTTTTTTTTTAGAAGATTTTATTTATTTATTTGACAGATAGAGATCGCAAGTAGGCAGAGAGGCAGGCAGAGAGAGAGGAGGAAGCAGGCTCCCTGCTGAGAACCCTGGGACCATGACCCGAGCAGAGGCTTTAACCCATTGAGCCACCCAGTCGCCCAACAACCATTTTCTTTAAGTGAAGTTGGAACTCAGGAAGTAGTATTTGAAGAGGCTCAAAGGGATTGATGATAATAATAACAGCAATAATAGAAATGGCTAACTGATGAACCAGATACTTTATGTAAATAGTCTTATTTTAATAGCATAGCAACCATGTGAATGTTGGTTATATGAGAAATAGAGCAGTGTAGGAGTAAGGAGCATAGACTCTGGGGTCATACTTCCTGCCCTGACTTCTCAGCTTTTGTCAGTAACTAGCTATGGCCTTGAATTAGAAAACTGCCTTTTTCCTTATCTATAAAATGAGGGTACTAATAGTACCTGCCTCATAAGGTTGTGATGATTAAATGATGTAAGCTCTGTAAAGCTTAGCATAGCACTTGGCAGATAGAAAGTACTCACTATGGGCTGGAGGGGAGGTGGGTGGGGGGATGGGGTAACTGGGTGGTGGGCATTAAGGGGGTACTTGTTGGAAGGAGCACTGGGTGTTAAATGCAACTGATGAATCATTGAACTCTACCTCTGAAACTAGTAATATATGTTAATTAATTGAATTTAAATTTTAAAAAAAGGACCCCCCATCCCAAAGAAAGGGAGTGCTCACTATGGGGTCCCTGGGTGGCTCATTCAGTTAAGTGGCTGCCTACAGCTCAGGTCATGATCCCAGGGTCCTGGGATGGAGCCCCACATCAGGCTACTTGCTGTCAGGGAGCCTGCTTCTCTCCTGTCTGACATTTCCCTTGCTTGTGCTTGTGTGTGCGTGCTCACACTTGCGCACTCTCTCGCTCAAAATCTCTCTCTCTCTCTCTCTCTGTGTTTCAAATAAATAAATACAATCTTTTTTTTAAAAAAAAGTGCTCACTAAGTGTCACTTAAAACAATTAAAGCAGATGGAGAAGCAGAGACTTAGAAAGAGATAAGGTATGCCTAAGTGACATAGCAAATAAATAACAGAACAGTAATTTGCTCCTGGGCAGCCAAATTCCAAGGCTCTTGTTTTTTTCTTTCTTTCTTTTTTTTTTTTTTTTCAAATAGGTTCTACACCCAACATGGGACTTGAACTCACTATCCTGAGATCAAGAGTTTCATGCTCTACCAACTGAGCCAACTCTTGTTTCTTACCATTATACTGTACCACCATCATAGATTGAAGGGAAGAGTTGGACATGAACTGCACTTTGTCCAACTTGAGGTGAGCATAGATCTGGAGGTCACACCTGGGCTCAGACCTAAGTAAGGTTTATTTGTGATCTTAAGTATCTTATCACCAGAGCATGTACTGGTTATTCTCTGAAGTGATTTTTCCCTAGATCCAAAGATGAAAGAGTGATGGGTCATTTATAGTCTTCTGCTGAGGGGTTGAGTGTTCCCTGGCTGGGACCAGGAAATGAAGCTGAATAAACACCTGTATCTTACTGCTTTTGGACCTGTGTAGGAGCTTGTCCTGTCTTTCTTGTTACTATGATTGTGTTTCCTAATACAACTGGTAACGATGAGAAGCAGAGCAGTGTATACATTGAATACTTTATGTGCCACGTGTTTGACATCTATTCTTTATTTTTTTTTTAAGATTTTATTTATTAATTTATTTGACAGAGAGAGAAAGAGAGATGGCGAGAAAGAGAGAGAGAACAAAGATGGGGAGCAGCAGAGGGAGAGGGAGAAGCAGGTTCTCTGCTGAGCAGGAAGCCCAATGGACCCTGGGATCATGACCTGAGCCAAAGGCAGACGACGCTTAACAACTGAGCCACCCAGGTGCCCACTCGCCCTTTTCTTAAGATTTTATTTATTTATTTATTAGAGAGCAAGAGCGAGAGCATAAGCAGGGGAGCATCATCTATTCCTTAATGTAACCCTATAAAGTAGTCACTCTTTATTTTATAGAAACAAAGAGATTCGGAAACATGCTTAAACACACATAGTCAGTGCTGGGATTTGAATATGCAATCTGGCTCTAGGGTCCACATTCTTAACCTCTACACTCTACCGTTTCTATTCTTTTCTCACCTGTCTAGAGCACATAGTATGAGGCAGATAGCTTAGTAGGGCCTGTCCTATTTTTCCCCATTTGAGAAATGGGAGGCTTTTGACTACTGGGCTAGAAATAAGGAGACCTGTGATCTCATCAACCTTCTCACCAATTTGCCCCATCCAGGACTTCAGTTTTCTTAGCCTTATTGTCCTCATTCATTAAACAAAAGGGTCACTCTAGATGGTCTCTGAGATCCCTTCTAACTCTGATGTTCTCACTGACCATTTGAAGTGAGGAGACTAATACTTGCTCAGCTCCTTAATTTTGGAGTGGTGGTATTTGTGGGCTTTTAGGGACCCTGCTTTGTGTAAGGGAGGATGCCAGATTTCAGGACGGAGAATATTGCCTTCCTGAAGAAGGTAGGTCTGGGCTCTTTTTTGAGGCTAGTTGCCTAGGGAACCTAGCCTCCAGCCAGCAACAGTCAGGAATGCTTTGGTTGAGAGTTGGGTACAGATAACTAAAACAAGCAGCACATTTAGGTTTCGCTTTCCACACTCGCCTGCCGTGGGTCCCCCCCCAAGCTACCTTTCCTTTATAAGCTTCCAGTTTTATACACTTTCTGTATGTTAGTACTTTGTTAAGAAGTTTGCTATTTAATCTTCATAGTAACCTTATGAGATAAGTACTATTCTAAATTTACAGATAATGAAAGTGAGGCAAATAGAGTTAAATAGTTTGTCTGTAGTTACTCAAGTGGAAAGTGGTATCCAACCCACTGTGTTGTACCGCCTGGTTGGAACTTAAAAAAAAAAAGCAGAGGGAGGAACTCTATTAGTGATGTTTGTTTTGTTTTTGTTTTATTTAGAATGATAGACTTGGAGTTGGAAAGGCCCTTGAGGTAATAGTCAATCTCCTTGTCTCCTGTCTGTCATCTAGTTGCAGGAATGCTTTCCATTATCCCCCTGACAGATGATCACCCAAGTTCTTTTTGAATGCTTCCATTGTTGGGGAGCTCATTACTTCTTGAGGAATCCCATTATATGTTGAATAGCTCTCTGGTAAGATACTAGTTTTTGTTTTGAATTTAAATCTAATTGAGATGATTTTTCATCAGTTTTAGACCCGTTCTTTGGAATCATACAGGATAAATACAATCCGTCTTTCAAATTCCAGTCTTATGAATGTTTGAATTCACTCTTCCTATTTATAAGGCATTTTGCAGTTTTCTCATAGCATCTAAACTTGCTTTCAATTTGGATTGGTCTGCACAAAAGCAATCTCTGTTTTTTGCTGCTTTAAAGTACAGCCTTGCAACAACAAATATGTATTTCATTTCTTACAGTTAGGCACAAAATATGGGCCCTTCCCATCTTTGGAGAATGAATGCATAGTTAGCTGAGTCTCTACAATTGTATATGAGTCTGGAGGGTTTACATTCTTCTACTTTTGTAATCTCTAGGACATTAGACTCAGAGCCACACGCTGTCAGAGCTCACAAAATGGCTGGAAGTTTATCCCGGCATTTGACAAAACTGCATTTACTTCATTGGGCCACTAGGTGATGAACAACTCACAAAGCCAGACTTCCAGGGATGGTTGTGTATAGGACAGTTTCTGTTTATATGTGAAAGGCCATCAGAAGTCATCTGGTTCAGCCTCATTAAAAGGTCTTTTTTGGGGGAGGGAAGACATGTCTTGTGTACACTTTGTCTTTTCCAGCTTTGCTCCAGTTTTAAATATTAATTTGAATAGGATGTTTCTTTCTGTGAGTGATTTTCTTAGAAAAGGGGCATGGATGGTACTTTGAAGGTCCTTATATGTCCAATTGTGTGTGTACAATGTGTGTATGTATATTTTTGTAAGAGTTTATTTATTTATTTGGGAAGATTTTACTTATCCATTTTATAGAGAGAAAGGGGAAAAAATCATGTGTGCATTCAAGTGGGGGAAGGGAGAGGGGAAGGACAAGCTGAGCACAGAGCCTGAAGTGGGGCTCAATCTCATGGTCCCAAAATCTTGACCCCAGCTAAAATCAAGAGTTGGACGCTTAACTGACTGAGTCACCCAGGCGCCCCATGTGTTTATTCACAGGTAATGTCTCCACCCAGTGTGGGGCTCAAACTTACAGTCCTGACATCAAGAGTCACATGTTCTACCAACTGAGCCAGCCAAGCACTCCTGAATTTTACCATAATGTAGGAATGATGTCTTGGCTGGCTTTAGGATTCTTTTTTTTTTTTTTTTTTTTTTTTTTTTTTAAGATTTTATTTATTTGACAGAGAGAGATCACAAGTAGGCAGAGAGGCAGGCAGGGGTGGGGGAAGCAGGCTCCCTGCTGAGCAGAGAGTCCGATGTGGGGCTTGATCCCAGGACCCCGGGATCATGACCTGAGCCGAAAGCAGAGGCTTTAACCCACTGAGCCACCCAGGCGCCCTGGGTTTAGGATTCTTAAATAGTAGTTCTAGTCACTACAAAGTCTGTATGCAGCTTTCTGCTGTATTCAGTTTCTAGTGATACAGATGGGAAGTCCAGTGCCAATAGGATTCTAAGTAATTACCTGTTCTTTCTCTTTGGAAGTTTGTAAATTTTTTCTTGCTTAGCGTTTCATCTTGATAACGCTTTAGGTGTGTGTCCTTTTTTTTTTTTTTTTAAGATTTTATCTATTTATTTGACAGAGTGCTCGCTTCGGCAGCACATATACTAAAATTGGAATGATATTTATTTGACAGAGAGACAGCAAGAGAGGGAACATAAGCAGGGGGAGTGGGAGAGGGAGAAGCAGGCTCCCTCCTGAGCAAGGAGCCTGATGTAGGGCTTGATCCCATGACCCTGGGATTATGACCTGAGCTGAAGGCAGACGCTTAATGACTGAGCTACCCAGGCACCCCCAGGTTTGTGTCTTTTTAAAATACTCTGCTTGGCACTTATTGAACTGTTTAGACTTAAAAATTTGTCTTGTCTTAGTTCAAGGAAGTTTTATTGCTTTCCTTCCACCTGTTTCCAACCTCCTTCCTTTATAGATGAGGAAACCGTGTCCAGAAAGGTTAAGCTACTTGTTCAAGGTCACTCAGCTAGTTAATAGTGAACCTAAGCAAATAATTTGATTTCTTCTTTTTATTTAAGATTTTGTTTATTTGATAGAGACACAACGAGAAAGGGAATACAAGCAGGATGAGTGGGAGAGGGAGAAGCAGGCCTCCCATCGAGCAGGGAACCTGATTTGGGGCTTGATCCCAGGACCCTAGGATCATCACCTGAGCTGAAGGCAGACGGTTAACGACTGAGCCACTCAGGTGCCCTAATAACTTGATTTCTTTGATGAACTAGACTTTCATTATATTGAGTATTGCTCTGTTGAGAGGCCCATCATGAAAAACATGGACATTTTTTAGTGAGACAGGAATTTTGCTGAGGGTTCATGGGGAGCTGAAGGAGGAGGAGATGATAAAGTTCATTATGATTAAAATGTGGCCCATTTGGGGTGCCACGGTAGCTCTGTCATTTGGGTATTTGACTCTTGGTTTTTGCTCTGGTTGAGATCTAAAGGTCATGGGATCGAGCCCAGTGTTAACAGAATTTGCTTGGGATTCTCTCCATGTCTTTTCCCCTTCCCCTCTACTCCTCCCTCCCCCTAGGATGAAGAGATAAATAAAATCTTTAAAAAAAAATGTGGCCCATTTGAAGGGCTATAAAAAATTCACAAGGTATCCCAGTCACTGGAGTTACCCCAGAGCTCTAAAACTTAATAAAGCCAAGAAGTTAATTGAACACGTGGAGAATTAGATATCTAATTGTCAGGAGCTGGACAAGCATGGTCATGCCCTGTTGTAAATATTGGAAAACATAAATATCTGAAGGCTTGGAGACAGACATCATAAACTGTCTTATCAGTGGTCTGGTTTCTGTTTTGAGTTCCAGCCTGGGACCCTTTTCTGCTGGGAACCACCTGTTCTGGCTGTGTTGATCTTTGGACTTCCCCAGCTCTCAGTCCCTTTCAGTTTTGAAATGAAACCTACCCCAGAGGGTGAGGTCAGGTACCGAGAGGACTTTGACAGCTCACACCAGGTTGTTTTTTTCTAGAGTCTGGTATGTACTGTGTGAAGTATAAGGCTCAGCGGGCTGTGATATAGACTAACTGATGGTGAATCAGCTGTTGGGTAAGGCTCAGGTAGTGCTATTTCTTTGGGTAACCAGGAAAACATGTAGACCAAATATGGTGTCTTTTATCCTTAGACAGTTGAACGTTAAAGAGTACAGTCATCAGAGATCTGCCATGATCTTGCTCTCTTTGGTTTACTGAAGAAGGAAAGGCATCATTTCAGTGGCTTTTCTCCTCACTTTTAGAGCCTCCTTTCTTTTTAGGAAGGAGCCAAGTCCTTGGCTTCTTTCTGCTGCTCCAGCTTCTAAATGTTTATACTGTGCCTCCTGGAATTGCTGCTTTAATATGAAGTGACTCCTCTAGGTACCCCTAGACACACATACCCACCATGTGCTGCCCCCACCCCCTTCACAGAATTTGGCTTCCCCTCTTCCATTTGTTGTGAAACTCGTTTCCACTATACTACAGCACTTGGCTTGGAATCTTTATAATTGGTACTGGCTATTTATTTATTTATTTGACAGACAGAGATCACAAGTAGGCAGAGAGACAGGCAGAGAGAGAGAGGAGGAAGCAGGCTCCCTGCTGAACAGAGAGCCCGATGTGGGGCTCGATCCCAGGACACTGAGATCATGACCTGAGCCAAAGGCAGAGGCTTTAACCTAAACACTGAGCCACCCATGCGCCTGGCTTTTTTTTTTTTTTTTTAAACTCACTGCATACCACTTCCCCCTGATTTTACCTGACTGTCCTGCAGCCACATCCCTCAGTTTTGCAGAGCTGCTTATAGACCTTCAAATACCTTTCTCCACTGAGACTTTTACTGGGCAGTAAGGCTGCTGGATCCCTGTCCTTGAGATTGGTTGACATCTGTACTCATTCTCCCATGGTGGTTTGTTGTTATTTTTTTAAAGATTTTATTTTTTTTTTTTAAGATTTTATTTATTTATTTAACATACAGGGAGAGACAGTAAGAGAGGGAATACAAGCAGGGGTAGTGAGAGAGAGAAAAGCAGGCTCCCCACTGAGCAGGGAGCCAATTGCGGGGCTCTATCCCAGGACACCAGGATCACCACCTGAGTGGAAGGCAGATGCTCAGCGACTGAGCCACTCAGGCGCCCAAAGTTTTTATTTTTTAAAGTAACCTCTACACTCAATATGGGGCTCAAACTCAAAACCCCAAGATCAAGAGTCGCATGCTCTACTGACTGAACCAGCCAGGCGCCCCTCATTCTTCCATGTTTGTTTAAGACTTTGGTGTCTGACTTTTCCTCCTGGGACTCTGGCCCAGCCTAGGGGGGGATTGGTGGTCAGGCTTGGCCTGGGTCTAGTGATTCAGGGTCTAGGGATTCAGTTCAGGCTTGGCCTCGGTCTAGTAGACCATAGAATTAGGGAGCTTCGTGTTAATATCTTAGATGTGGGGAGATGGGAAGCCTTAAGATCTGAACACCAAGACCATTGGAGGTGAAAGGGACAGAAAATTTAGCATCTGAAACAAAGGATATCTTTTGTAGGCTCCCATTTAAAAAATTAGGAGTTTTTTTAAGGGGGCGCCTGGGTGGCTCAGTGGGTTGAAGCCTCTGCCTTCGGCTCAGGTCGTGATCCCAGGGTCCTGGGATCAAGCCCCGCATCCGGCTCCCTGCTGGGCAGGGAGTCTGCCTCCCTCTCTCTCTCTCTGTCTGCCTCTGCCTACGTGTGTTCTCTGTCAAATAAATAAATAAAAAAATCTTAAAAAAAAAGTTTTTTTAAGAACAGTTTTAGGTTCACAGCTAAATTGAGGGAAAGATACAAAGACTCCTGTTATTATTATATTTGAGTAAGCTTTGTGCCCAAGGTGGGGCTCAAACTCATGACCCTGAAGTCGAGAATCACATGCTTTAGCAATCGAGCCAGGTAGGCGCCCTGAAAAATTGATCACTTTTTGAAAAATTGATCTTTTTGAAGAATTGATCTTTATTTTATAGGGAATGTAGTAATACAATATAATCTAAAAAAAATAAAATCATATTTTGAATTCTCCTGCTCCCCCTGTTATTTTTGTGTTCCTTGGAGGTGGTAACCTGTTAGTGTTTGGAATTTGTACATACCGGACTTTTTTCTGTTTACATATATATGTATGAAACCAGAAAAGTGTTATTTTTGTGTCTTATTTATACAAATGGGGTCACATTTTATGGATCACTTTGGCATTTCTCTGATTCAGTAAGGTGTCTTGACAGTATTTCATGTTGGTACAAAAAGATACTTCTCGTTGATTTTGGCTACTGCAGATATGCTAAATTCAGTTATTTTCCTATTGAGAGACATTAAGGTATTTCCATTTCTTTGTTGTTATGAGCAATTCTTACTGTGTTTTAAGTGTCAGTGTTCTTTTCTTAGGCCTTTTGTCTTCTTTTCTCATGCTGCTCTTCTAGGTGATCTCAACCTTTCTGACAGCTCCACTTAACCGTCTGCATATGGATGATGCCCACCTCTGTCTGCAGACCAGTGTCCAGCTGCTCACGTGGCCGGCATCACAGGGATATTGTGCACACTCACCACTGTGTGGCCTTCCGCTCCTCCTTACTTGCCGCCTCACCTGGTGTCCTGTCACATGGTAAACACCACGGAGTTATTAGGCCCAAAAGACTTCCCTTCCCCTCCCACATGCCAACAACCAGTATGTCACTGGGACTTTTCCTCCCTAGTATTTCTTGGATCCAGTTGCTTTCTTTTCTTCTTCATTGCCACTATCTTGTACCTTAGTTTTATGGATTTACAAAACGAGAGTACTTGTGAGTATTAAATAAATTAGTAACACGTAAAATGCTTAGAAAAATAGATCGGCTCCCAGTAAGTGCCATGTGAATGTTGTTATCATCATCACATCGTCGTTGTGGGGTTCTTCTCATCTTAGTGTACATGATACCTTTTCGTCTCTACCTCCAGTCTTGATTTTATCCTTCCCCACCTTCATTCCACTCTGCAATTTGCAGCCAGAGTGATCTTTATAATAAACATGAATGTTCATGGTCTAACTTTCCTGCTTAAAAAACTTCCATGATCTTGCTTTTACATGATTTGTCACCCCCACCTAGAATGCTTTTTCCCTTGATCTTTGAATGACAGCTTTTTAGGGGTTTGTTGTTGTTGTTTTATTTTGTTTTGAGATATATGTTTTTATTTTATTTTTTATTTTTATTTTTTCTAAAGATGTTGTGTATTTGACAGAGAGCACAAGCAGGGGGAGCTGCAGTGGGAGAGGGAGAAGCAGACTCCCCACTGAACAGGGAGCCTGATGAGGGGCTTGATCTCAGGACTCTGGGATCATGAGTTGAGCCAAACTGATTGGCTTAACTGATTGAGCCACCCAGGCACCCTGAGATACTAGTTTTTCAATGTCATGTCCTCAGAGAGGCCTTCCCCTGACCACTTAATTATTTCAGAGTAGCCACCCATATCCTTTCTGTTATATCACCTATTTTAATTCTTTCCATAGCACTTAATATGTGATTTTTTTTCTAGTTTATTCATGTATTTGTTTATATAGTCTCTTTCAATTAATATTTATGTATATATGTATGTATGTATGTATGTATTTGTTTTTTTTAAGTAGGCTGCATGCCCAGCCTCAGATCAAGGGTTGCGTGCTTTACTCACTGAGCCAGCCAGGCACCCTGGTCTCCTTCAGTTAGAATTAAATTCTCTGAGAACAGGAAGGAATGTTGTCTGTTTTATTCACTCTTACATTTCTTGTATGTATAACAATGTCTGGTACATTATAGGCACTCAGTGAATACTTGTGAAGTGAATTATAAAACAGTTTCATACGTATTATGAAACCCTTTTTGGTCTCTCCAGCATCTTCTGCTTCAGGACACCCTCTGCTTTGTCCTCTCCACTCCCCAGCTCATCCCATCTCTTCAGATGTGTTTTCTTGCTGCAGGACCTTTGCATATGCTATTCCCTCTACTTAGAACACTTTTTCTCAAGTGCCCAGCCTCTGCCTGGGTATCTCCTATTTATCCTTCATGTTTCAGCTTAAGTCTAACTTCACTTGACTGCCCTTCTTAGTCTTACAGCTCTACATGCATTACCTTTAATTATACATACCGTAATTATTTGTCTGTCTCCCTCACTATATGATAAGTTTTGTTGGGCAAAGACATATGTCTTATTCACCATGTATTCTTAGTTGTAACTGCTGTGGGCTAGAAGCATCTCTTGAGGTGGGGTGCTGGATAGGAGTACCCAGAGTACCAATTGAGGGCTAAGAAGGTACGCCTTTGAATGTCAGGGTAAGGTCTGGTCATTTGGCCCTGGCTCATTGTCATTCTCCTTATTCCATCTTTGGTGATCCCAGTGTTTGCCTGGATGAATTATCTAACATGCTTGAGATGAATCATCTAAAACACTGTCTTTCTCTGAGACATATTCATAAAAATCAGTGTACCTGGCAGAGGACTTGCCCAGGAATGGGACATGAGTGCTAAGGATAAAAGTTGCGGATCTGGGTAGGCAGCATATTTACTCTGAGTGGCTGATGGCAGTATAACTGAGAGTGGAGTGCACTTCTATGCAAGGAAGGAAGCAAAAGGCCTTAGGGACAAGGTGAGGCAAAGATGAAACAGGAAGCTGAATCATTAATTCAGAAACCTAGAGAATCAGGATAATGGGTGGAGTGTAAGGATGGACAGGGCAAGCAGTTCACGATTAAGGCCATAAATAATCTTGGGGATTACTTAAATCATCTTTCGGCATTCTTACCTCTTTAGTGTGGAACCAGCTTTTGGATTAGGAGGAGGATCAGGTAGTTGACATACAAAGGTTTGAACTAGATTGCCTATTACTTTGTATTTTATGTGTTAATTATCTGAAAGTCAGATCCTCAGAAATCCTACTGTACCTTTCCCCCACACTTCAGTTTCTGCTCATTTTTAAATATATTAGGTTTAACTAGCTAATCTTTGGAAAAGTTTCCTGTAGCAATCCGTCCTGGTGCTCCCCTTAGGTAGGCTGAGGATACTCCCTTCAGATAGGGTGAGCACTCCTTCAGGCTGTACCTCCTCCCACCAGACCATGCCTAGGAGTTGGCCTCAGCAGCCTTGGGAGTTCAGGACTCTGCCTAGCCTGAATCTGTGGATTTCTGTCTGAGTTTTGGGGAGGGACACGAAAGTGTAAAATATAGGATGGGATTCGGTCAGTGAGGCATGATAGAAGTAGTGGAAGACTGGCCGGGTGTGCATAGATGTAGGATCTGAAGGTGTATAGGTGGTGGTTTTCGAAGTCTCTGACCTGGAATGGTCGTTGAGTTTATGGCAGTGTTAGGTGCTCTGATGTGCCAAGTGGAGAATCTTGGTGAGTGGTGCCTGCCATTAGCCCTTTGGGGTGTTCTGTATGTTTTCTGTGTGGCCTGAAGGTCTGCTACAGAGTGGTAGCTGGCTTCATGGTGGTTGCTTGGTGAGGGCGAGTCATGGGGATAGGAACAGTACTTACTGAAGATGGGTATGTTTTCTTTGAAGATTGGATAGAGTGATTATGTGCACATCCTGGGCAGTCTAAGGCCAGTCACCTTGCCTCTGTGAGGCAAGGCATCTATCTGCACTCTCCTCCTAGGGTTTTGCTGGGAAAAGCGGCCTAAGAGAGCCAGAGATCATGGCCATAGTTAGTGATTCCCTCGAGAATGCTCCCTGTCTTTGACTCCTCTGTTCTCTAAGCCTATGCTCTGATGTTTTGCCTTCTATTTGCTGCTTTGGTACCTTCAAATTCTTTTTTCTTTCTTTCTTTTTTTAAAGATTTTTTTTTTTTAAGATTTTATTTATTTATTTGTCAGAGAGAGAGAGGGAGAGAGAGAGAGCACAGGCAGACAGAATGGCAGGCAGAGCAGAGGGAGAAGCAGGATCCCTGATGAGCAAGGAGCCCGATGTGGGACTCGATCCCAGGACGCTGGGATCATGACCTGAGCCGAAGGCAGCTGCTTAACCAACTGAGCCACCCAGGCGTCCCTAAAGATTTTTATTTATTTGACAGACAGAGATCACAAGTATGCAGAGAGGCAGGCAGAGAGAGAGGGGGAAGTGGGCTCCCCGCCAAGCAGAGAGCCCGATGCGGGGCTCAATCCCAGGACCCCGGGATCATGACCTGAGCCCAAGGCAGAGGCTAAACCCACTGAGCCACCCATGTGCCCCTGATTTGTTTTTTAAATAGAAACATCAGGGCGCCTGGGTGGCTCAGTGGGTTTAAGCCTCTGCCTTGGGCTCAGGTCATGATATCAGGATCCTGGGATCGAGTCCCTCATCGGGCTCTCTGCTTGGCAGGGAGCCTGCTTCCTCCTCTTTCTCTCTCTCTCTGCCTGCCTCTCTGCCTAGGTGTGATCTCTCTCTGTCAAATAAATAAATAAAATTCTAAAAAAATAAAAAAATAGAAACATCACTTTTAATGACCAGTTAGGGCCACAGCAGACAGCTTCCAGAATAGAAGTAAGACAGTCCCAAGACAATGGAGTGTAAAATTGTCTCAGATAGTTAATAAAAATATGGACCGCTTTACGAATTTATGTGTCATCCTTGTGCAGGGCCCATGCTAACCTTCTCTGTATTGTTCCAATTTTAGTATGTGTGCTGCTGAAGGGAGCACAGGAATCTGCATTTTGATTGCCTCCCAGATGACTCTGACTACAGTCATCATCTGCAGACCATATTTGGAGAAACTGACAGAGGATTCCACTGACCTCCCATCTCTAAAGGGGAAGAAAGGGGATTTGAACACTTTACTTGGATCTAAAGGTCCTGAGAAACCCATTCTGTCATCCAGTGGGAATAATGGATAACTGCATGTACCGGCACCTCATCTTCTCATTGCCACAGTAGATGCAGAGCCAGATGAGGTAGACAAGGGCTTCATGACTAAACCATGGCAGGTCAGTAGCTCTGGGATTTACAGGAAGCTTTGACTTTGGACTCAGAAAACAGGCTAGGGGCACTTGGGTGGCTCAGAGGGTTAAGCCTCTGCCTTCAGCTCGGGTCGTGATCTCAGGGTCCTGGGATCGAGCCCCGCGTCGGGCTCTCTGCTCAGCAGGGAGCCTGCTTCTCCCTCTCTTTCTCTGCCTGCCTCTCTGCCTACTTGTGATCTATCTCTGTCAAAAAAAAAAAAAAAAATCTTTAAAAAGAAAACAGGCTAGAACATGGACCCTGAAGGCTATGTCGCGTGGCAGATTTTCTCAAGGGTGCCTCTCTTTTCCTGTGTACGTTGACCCTATCCTAGTGCAGGTTTTCTTTATTTGGTTCCCAAGCTGTCTTCAGTCCCCGTTGTTGCTATTGTATACACACAGCTGCCGCTATCCTATAAGAACCTTGTCTTTCCTTTTCAAGTCCTCTGTTACATTCCTGTTACCTATAGGATCAAGTCCAAATGTCTTGGGTTGTAATAAACGGCCTTACACAATTTGGCCCAAATTATGACCTATAAGATTGAGGACGATCTGGTCCCTACCTTTTTCTCAAGTCTTATCCCAAGCCCTTCTCTCTCATCTCCTGGGTACCCTTATTTGTTCATAGTTCCTTGATCTCTTCTTTTGCTGATTTCAGAGCCTTTGTAGTGCTATAGTCTCTGCCTAAGGCTATAGCCTTTAATGGGCTCTTCACCTCATTAACTATCCCTTACTTTTAAGTGTCAGTTAAACATTATCTCCTCTTATTTTTTTTTTTTTTAAAGATTATTTATTTATTTGACACACACACAGAGAGAGAGGGAGAGAGAGAGAGGGGCACAAGGGGGCAGAGCAGCAGGCAAAGGGAGAAGATGTGGAGATCAGTCCCAGGACCCTGGGATCATAACCTGAGCTGAAGGCAGATGCTTAACCGACTGAGCCCCCCCCCCCCAGGCGTCCCCACATTATCTCCTCTTAGAAGTTTTTCTGCCCATTCTATACAAAGCAACTCAATGTTACTTTTTATTTATACCTCATTTGCTTCCATTAGACCACTTACTGCTTTTTACTAGTTTGTCTTTCTCTCCTATTAGATTATAAGTTCCACGAAGGTAGGGACCTTCTTGCTCATGGTTGTATCTTCAGTGCTTAGAAGTACTTGGGAAGTACTTGTTGACTATAAATTACTTTTCACCTTGTCAGTAGCTGTGGGATGCTTTGTGGCCCTGCACAACTCTCACCCTTTGCATGGATTATTGCCTCTGCTGAAGGCACCCTTTCTCTCATTACCTGGTCAGATTTTTTTCTTGTCCTTTTCCACTTCCCTAAGCAAGTCTTTGACTTCCCCAGGCAGTGCTAGTTCAATAGAGACAGCTCTTTGGTTCTCTCAAGTGGATTTCTCTGTGTAGTGATTTCATCTGTATAAGAGATAGATGGTATTGCCCTGGGTTTGTAGATGATAAACCAGAAGCTCTGAGCAGTAGATTAACTTGGAAATGGCAGAACTGAGATTCCAGCCCCATTGTATGCATAGAGCCCTCACTCATTCTACCTTGCTGTGATCTAAAAGAAACCAAATAGTAGACTTAGAGACACTGAAGTGAAAGAGATTTTGTTTTTGTTTTTGTTTTTTTAAGACTTTATTTATTTATTTGACAGATAGATATCACAAGTAGGCAGAGAGGCAGGAGAGGCAGGCAGAGAGAGAAAAAGGAGGAAGCAGGCTCCTTGCTGAGCAGAGAGCCCGATGTGGGGCTCGATCCCAGAACCCTGAGATCATGACCTGAGCCGAAGGCAGAGGCTTAACCCACTGAGCCACCCAGGTTCCCCAATGTTTTCTGTTTTTTAATTGAGTAATGAAAGTGTGTGTGGGGGTGGGGGTGGGGGGGTTTATTTGTCTTACACTTTTTCAGAGTTAAACCCAGTAAAAGGTATACTATTAAGAAGCAATTTATAAGGATGATGGAGTAAAGGGTGACCAGAATATTCAGAGGACAATGTGTGTTCTTTTTCTGTTTCTTTTCTTTAAGATTTTATTTATATACTTGAGAGAGAGAGAGAGAGCATGAGAGGAGAGAGGGTCAGGGGGAGTAGCAGACTCCCTGCTGTGCAGGGAGCCCGATGCGGGACTGGATCCTGGGACTCCAGGATCATGACCTGAGCTAAAGGCAGTCACTCAACCAACTAAGCCACCCAGACGCCTCTCCTGTGTTTTCTTGATCATCTTTGGTGACAAACAGTCAACATATACCCTAGTAGAAATAAATCAAGGTGAAACACTATTAAATTCAAACCAAAGCAAGTTATCAGTGGTCATTAATAGTTGCTTGGAGGATATATAAAGAGTTAAATCTGAATATTTTTGTTAAGGGAGAAAGATATGCAAAACTGGTATGCATAGTCTTTAACACATTTTGCTTAAAAATACATCTTAGTATATATTGTTAAGATACTAGTTGAATAGGGCGCATGAGCGGCTCAGTGGATTAAAGTCTCTGCCATTGGCTCAGGTCATGATCCCAGGGTCCTGGGATCGAGCCCTGCATTGGGCTCTCTGCTCAGCGGGGAGCCTGCTTCCCTCTTACTCTCTGCCTGCCTCTCGGCCTACTTGTAGTCTCTGTCTGTCAAATAAATAAATAAACTCTTTGAAAAAAATAAAAAGATACTAGTTGAATAGGGATGCCTTGGTGCCTTAGTCGGTTAAGTGGCTGCCTTTGGTTTGAGTCATGATCCCAGGGTCTGGGATCGAGTACCACATTGGGCTCCCTGCTCAGTGGGGAGCCTGCTTCTCCCTCTGCCTGCTGCTCCCCCTGCTTGTTTTCTCTCTCTGACAAATAAATAAGATCTTTAAAACAAAAATACTAGTTGAATAAATTGTAGTGGATATTGCCATATTATGTAGTGTTAAGAAGAATGAGACATACAGGCACATACACACTCACACCCTGATATGGAACAATCTCTGAGATCCATTATTAAGGCAAAGTGCAGAATAATGTTTGTGGCACGCTAGTATTAGTATTTGTATGCAAAAGGGGAGGATTCTGTCTACTTATTATACCCAGATTACCTCTTCTTTGTTTTGTTTTGGTTTTTTGTTTTATTTTTAAAGATTTATTTGAGAGAGAGAATGTATATGTGTGTGAGACAGAAAGTGGGGGGAGGAGCAGAGGGAGAGGGAGAGAATCTCTAGCAGACTCCCCACTGAGCACACACAGCCCACGACCCTGAGTTCAGTCTCACGACCCTGAGATTATGACCTGAACCGAAATCAAGAGTTGGATGCTTAACTGACAACCAGCCAAATATCCCAAGTTTTATAAACTTTTTAAGTACTTTGCTTTACCCTCTGAATGTGATCCTAAAAAGTTGAATGTAAATGTGTGTGTGTGTGTGTGTGTGTGTGTGTGTGTGAACAGGGATTGGCTGGAGAGGTATTAAGTATATCTCTCTAAACTTCACAGAAAAGAGGAAGAAGGAAGATCCTTTCTGTCTAGTGAATGATCCCTAACTTAATGTATTTCAATTTTGGTAAATGACATTTTTCCTGAAGTGAAACACATTCCTACTGAGAGTAGAACAAAAGGGAGATTGTGTTTGAAATTAAAGATACCCGTTTGTGTCAGGATACCCTATTATTTGTTTATCTGTTCTCCTGTTCGTGCACTAGAAATCTTGGAGCCCCCATCTATAACATGTTTCCTGTGTGTTGATTTTGTTTTTCCAAATGGAGTAAATTCTTTTTTTTTTTTTTAAAGATTTTATTTATTTATTTGACAGAGAGAAAGAGATTACAAGTACGCAGAGAAGCAGGCAGAGAGAAGGGGAAGCAGGCTCCCCGCTGAGCAGAGGGGGGGGGGGCGGGGGCGGGGGCAGAGGCTTTAACCCACTGAGCCACCCAGGCACCCCTGGAGTAAATTCTTGAAGGTGGGAGGCATATCTCATGATTATATCTTATAGTGACAAGCATAATAGAAGTTGCTCAGTAGACCCTTGGGCGCCTGGGTGGCTCAGTCGTTAAGTGTCTGCCTTCAGCTCAGGTCAGAGCCCTGGGATTGAGCCCTGCATTGGGCTCCCTCCTCAGCGGGGAGCTTGCTTCTCCCTCTCCTACTCCCTTGCCTGTGTTCCCTCTCTCACTCTCTCTCTCTTTATTAAGAAATAAAATCTTAAAAAAAAAAGTTGCACAGTAGCTACATATTCAAGGAAGATAAGAGAGAGGTGGAGAGAGAAAGAGCCACTTCTGTCAAAGAGATGATTGCTTTTGGATTTTCTCTGACTCATGTTTTCTCTTTATTAGTAAAGAATTGGGGCACCTGGGTGGCTCAGTGGGTTAAAGCCTCTGCCTTCGGCTCAGGTCATGATCCCAGGGTCCTGGGATCGAGCCCCACATCGGGCTCTCTGCTCTGCAGGGAGCCTGCTTCCTCCTCTCTCTCCCTCTGCCTGCCTCTCTGCCTACTTGTGATCTCTGTCAAATAAATAAATAAAATCTTTAAAAAAAAAAAAAAGAATTTCTTTCAGTTGTACTAAGTGTGTTGGAGGATTTTGGGGGTGTGTCTGTGTATGTATTGGAAAGATGTTCCCTGCTGAAAGCCCAGGAAAGAGCAGAAGCTGGAATGGGGCATGAAAGCTGTTGACCTAATGGTATGTAATGAGACTTCTGTGTTGCAGCCCTGAGGAGAATCTCAGATTGGCTTACCTGTTCTAAATTCAAGCTTGGGTATTCAGCTGTCAGCAGGGCACATGGACCTGTATGTGCCATAGACTTCCTAAATTTAGTAGCAACATGGTAGGAAAGTTTGGTTAAAGTGATTTGTCATTTTTGGTGAGAGTATATGAAAATTCTTAACACCAGGACTTGTGTATTATTGGTATCTAAGAGGTGACAGAGAGTATGCGAGAAATATTTTGAAACTGTTAAGTCCTTCCTTAGATCCCCTGCCTCTCATGTGCCTCCTATTCTTAGCTAAATAGGGGATAGCAATATGGATTCCACATTTGGGAAGTTGCCAGTTCCTTATTGGTGGCTTTATGCTCAGGCAGGAGGTGTAATAGGCTTCTACATATCTGACAGCAAATATATCTGGACCCTGTCTGCCAGGTTACTCAAAACCTTACCCCAGACTGAAAACGTCACCTTGGGCAATGTTCTTGGTAGGGACCTAGGTTTGAGAATCTTAGTGGGGAAGACTGTGAATCTTTAGGGTAGTTATGAAAGGTGGTGAGTGTATGGGATTGGACAGGAGTTTAACTTAGCCAGGATAGCTTGATGGATGTAGCTATGGAGGAAGGGATAAAGTAGGGAGTAAAATGGGCTCAGCTCCGTGTAATTTTCTGCTCCTAGGAAGATGTAGGCACTGTGTGCCAGGGGCAGAGCTCTGGCCTGTCACTCCGCTTTGAGAGTCAGTCTTACCCCTGGCTGCCCTACAAGGCATTTGGGGTTCAGTAGGAGATGAAACAGGGAATCTGAATCAGATAGACCTTGCTTCAAATCTTTTTTTTTCTTTTTTTAAGATTTTATTTTATTCATTTGGGGGGGGGGCAGAGCACAAGCAGTGGGAGAGGCAGAAGAAGAGGGAGAAGCAGACTCCCTGCCAAGCCAAGAGCCCGACATGGGACTCAATCCCAGAATCCGGAGATCATGACCTGAGCCAAAGGCAGATGCCCAGGCGCCCTAACCTTACTTCAAATATTACAGATCTGCAGGAAGGAAGTGTGTGTCCCAGGATCTGTTTTCTGTGTGCTGAAATAAGGAATCCCATCCAGGTGTGTGGAGGTTTCCTTCCATCCTTCTTATGCCCCTTCAGCTTGCTTCCATCTTAAGCTTTCATCCTTTTCACCCTATCACTGGCCTGGCATCTAGAAAGAGGAGGGGGAAGGGTGAGGAAGGAAGGGGAGAGTTAAAGAACTAGTAGGGGTAGGTGGATTTGTGATCCTTAAATCCTTTCTGGAACAGAGTGTAGGGGGTGCCTGCGTGGCTCACTTGGTTGGGTATCTGACTTTTGATTTCAGGTCAGGTCATGATCTTGGGGTGTGGAGCCTGCTTAGGATTTTCTCTCCCTCTCCCTCAGCCCCTCCCTGCCCCAATAAATAAATAAATGAAAGTATAGGTGTGGGGAGAAGAATGAGTAGAGTTGGAGAACACATAAAGGCTGCTGGTACCACTTGTCTGGCAGTCAGCCTGGACCCTTGGTTGGTATTATCAAGTTCCTTCTGTGTTGTTCCTCCATCCCAATTTAAAGCATAAGCATATATAAACATGTAATTTCATATCAAAGGAATCATACCTTAATACTGTTTTTCTTCTTTATACCATTTTGTAATCTTTTTTCACCTTTCCCCCCACTTTATTGAGATATAATTGGCATATAACATTGTGTAAGTTTAGGGTGTACAATATGATGATTTGAAACGTATATATTTTTAAGTTATTATAATATGGTTAACACATCCATCACCTGACAGAGTTCCCTGTGTTTCTGTGTGTGGTGAGAATCTTTTCTCATTTTATAATTTGTTATAGACACCTTATTATGTAAATAAATATAGAATAAATGGCTAAATTATATTTATTTCTTTTTTTTAAAAAGATTTTATTTATTTATTTGATAGAGGTCACAAGTAGGTAGAGAGGCAGGCAAGGAGAGAGAAGGGAGAAGCAGGCTCCTGCTGAACAGAGCCCAATGCAGGGCTCCATCCCAGGTCCCCGAGATTATGACCTGAGCTGAAGGCAGAGGCTTAACCCACTGACCCACCCAGGTGCCCCTAAATTATATTTCAACATGTGGATGTACCATAATGCTTTTTCTTTTTTTTTTTTTTTAAAGATTTTATTTATTTATTTGACAGAGATCACAGTAGGCAGAGAGGCAGGCAGAGAGAGAGAGAGGAGGAAGCAGGCTCCCTGCAGAGCAGAGAGCCCGATGTGGGGCTCGATCCCAGGACTCTGGGATCATGACCTGAGCCGAAAGCAGAGGCTTTAACCCACTGAGCCACCCAGACGCCCCTGCTTTTTATTTTTTAATATTTAATCTGTTTATCTTATCTGTTACCTATGGGACCTTTCCTGACTCCCTTAAAATTGTAGCAAACCCCCTTTCTTTCCTATCTCCCTTCTCTCCTTTGTTTTTCTCTGTAGCGTTTAATACCACTTGATACACTGTATACTTTTACTTGTTTATTGCCCAACACCTTCCATTAGAATGTAAGCTCCATGAAGACAGACTTTTTTCTTCTTTTTTTTATTCACTGCTCTCTGTTATGTAGGACAGTTCCTGGCACACAGTTGGTATTCAGTAAATATTTGTTGAATGAATGAATTTGTTGGACTTCGGGTGTATTTGTTGGACTTTTTATTTGTAGTTTTTTTTTTTTTTTTTTTAAGTAATCTCTGCCCCTATTGTGGGGCTCAGACTCAGGACCCTGAGATCAAGAGTTGCACACTCTATTGACTGAGCCAGCCAGGTGCTCCTATTTGCTGTATTTTTGTTATTATATACATGCTGTGATAAACGCCTTGTATGTAATCTTTGTACACTTGTCTACTTAGGATAAATTCTTTTTTTTTTTTAAGATTTTATTTATTTATTTGATAGAGAGTGAGAGAGAGAATGAGAGGGAAGAAGGTCAGAGGGAGAAGCAGACTCCTCATGGAGCTGGGAGCCCAATGCGGGACTCAATCCCGGGATTCCGGGATCGTGACCTGAGCCGAAGGCAATCGCTTAACCTGTAAGGGCCTATTTAGCCGGAGCGGCCCCACCTCAGTTGAACAGCCATTTTGTTGTTCCTGCAGTAAAACTTAAACTGACTCGCCCCCACCCCCAACCAGTCCCAGGTAACAAAGCCCAAATACAAGGGTGGGTCAGGCCAGGTGGAGATAACAGCCCAAATGCAGGGATGAGTCTGGTCAGGTGGAGACATCCAATCAGTAAAGCGCGTATACTGTCTCCCTAGCTACCAAGGAGTGTGGGCCCCACCTTTTAAAGGGCTCCAATTCTGACCAAGGTGATAGGCTAGTTCAAATAGCTACTGTGGGGTGAATTGTAATTCAGTTGGCCACCTGTGTGTGACCTAGCATGACTGTGCAGCTTTCTCTGTGTGTTGGAATCTCATTGGCTACCTGTGTGTGGCCAGGCCCAACCACATGGCCTTTGCTCTATAATAAATTTAGTCTGTGGGGCACCTGAGTGGCTCAGTGGGTTAAAGCCTCTGCTTCTGGCTCAGGTCATGAGCCGGATCTGGGATCGATCCGAATCGGGTGCTGGGATCCAGCCCCGCATCGGACTCTACGCTCAGTGGGGAGCCTGCTTCTTCCCTTCCTCTCTTTCTTCCTGCCTCTGCCTACTTGTGATCTCTGTCAAATAAATAAAATCTTAAAAAAAAAAAAAAAAAAGTCTGTAAGGCAGGGAGGGGTTGCCCTCTCTGTAAGAGATGGCCCCGGACGGTCAGTTTGATTCTCGATGCTTGGCGCGAAATAAAGCTTTGCTTGACCTTCGCTTTTTATCAGTCTTGCTCCTTTAATTACGGACCCATTATTGGGGGACCTTTCAAACCAACTGAACCACCCAGGGGCCCCACTTAGGATAAATTCTTAAGAAATAGAATGTCTCAGTTGAAGGATATGCACATTTAAAATGTCGATTTATGGAACCAACTACCCTTAAGAATGTTAACTCTTGCCAATGGCACATGAGATTGCCTACATTGCCAGTAATAATGTGTTGTATGTTTTTCATTTCCACATCTGACAGGTGAAAAGTGGTCTTGTCACTATAATATGGTAGTTGAGAATGTGACTCTGATAGATGTGATGTGATACGACATATGACTCTGGAGCCCATCTGCTGGGGCCTGAATTCTGACTCAGCCACTTACTGTGTGACCTTGGGTAAGTCATTTAATTTCTCTCTCAGTTTCATCTTTGATAAGGTAAGCATAATGATAGCACCTGTTTCAGGAAGAATAAGTCAATTAATCTAAGTAAAATGCTTCAAATAGTAATGGAGACATGCAGATCAATAAGTAGGACTTAATATTTTTTTATATTAAAGATTGAACATCTTTTCAAATGTATTTTGGACATTTATGAATTTTTTTAGTCACTTATTCGTCTTTTTTTTTTTTTTTTTAAGACCTTTATTTATTTGACAGAGACATAGCCAGAGAGGGAACACCAGCAGGGGGAGGGAACACAAGCGGGGGGAGTGGGAGAGGGAGAAGCAAGCTTCCCGCTGGGCAGGAAGCCTGATAAGGGGTTCCATCCCAGGACCTGGGGTCTTGACCCGAAGACAGATGCTTAACAGGAGGCACCCAGGTGCCCCTGTTATTTGCATGTGTTCCCAGTAATGTTTTCATAATAATTTAAAAGAGGTAAAGTACTGACTATAATATATAACAGAATTGTTCCTAGTTTATCATTTGTCTTTTGACTGTGTTTATGCAATTTTTTTCTCTTGGGAAGTTTTATATTTTTAGGTAGTCAAAATAATCTTTTTTCTTACAGTTTTTCCTGCTGCTAGGCCAGTGTTTAGAAAAGGCATGTCTCCCTACCTCAAAAACATAAAAAATGGTTACTCACTCTCTTTGAATACTTGGTGTGTGTGTGTGTGTGTGCGCACCTTCTTTTAACTCTTTAAATTTAATCTTTAAGTCTTTGATCCTTCTGGAATTTATTTTGATATGAAGATAGCAGTTGAGATCTGGCTCTATTTCTTTTCAGTTGTGTACTGCCCCAGACCTGTTTATTAAAGAAGAAAGACCAGGAGCCTTTAATCTCTTCTTCCCTCCCCTAATCTGAAAGTAAGATAATAGGAGATCTCCATTTTGGAGAATGAATTTCATGTTTGGACTCAGTCATTCAGTTGCTTAGCTGTGGGATGAATATGCTGTGTAAAGCAGTTTGGGACCAGAACTCACAGCCTGACTAAGTGATGAAACTGCTGCATTCCCTAGTGTAGCTTCCCTGCTGGCTCTTCTCTGGAGGCGCCTTCTAAGTGCATCTTAGTTTGAGGGCTGCTCTGAAGGGCCATTGTTAGTTTGGAACGACAGTTTTTGCGTTCTTCAGAAACAAATGAAGAGATTGTGGTGGATATTTCCTTACTCCAGCCTGAGAGTATCGATGGGGTATTGATGGGGGGCGTTGAATGGTAATGAACACATTGTGTTCTACCTGTGCCCTCATCAGCTCTTTTTGGAACACTTTTTTTTCCCATCTAATTTCTTCCCTCTAATCAAGATGAAGGGAGAGGAATTCCTCTATAACAGAGCTCTCATATATCCCATGGCAGCTGTTATTTGCCAAAGATGTTGAAGAAGGGTAGCTGACTCTTACATGGCATATGTTATGTGCCAGCAACTTTTCCAAGCACCTTACATATATAAAGTCTTTATGAGATTGGTTCTCTGTACTGAGTTGCATAGTCTCCTCCCAAAATTCACATCCACCCAGAACCTATGAATGTTATCTTATTTGGAAATAGGATCCTTGTAGATGTAAGCAGGTTAAGATGAAGTCATACTGGATTAGGATGGGCCCTAATCCAGTGACTGGTGTTCTTATATGAAGAGGGATATGTTATGCCCCAATAATGGGTCCGTGATTAAAGGAGCGAGACTGATACAAAGCGAAGGTCAAGCAAAGCTTTATTTCACACCAAGCATCAAGAATCTAACCGAACGTTGGAGTCCGCACCTCTTACAAGAGAGGGCGACCCTTCTCTGTTTCACAGTCTAGCTTTTAAGGGCAAAAACCATGCGGTCGGGCCTGGCCACGCACAGGTGACCAATGAAATTGTGACACACACAGCAAACTCCACAGTGATGCTAGGTGACCAATTGAGTTACAGTTTACCCTAGTAGACATTTGACCCAGCCTATTACACCTTGATTAGGATTGGCGCCAAAAGGGTTCCAAAGGGTGGGGGCCCCCTACTCCTTGGTAGCTAGGGAGATGTATGCAACCCCCTACTGATAGGATGTCTCCACCTGGCCTGACCCACCCTTATGTCTGGACTTTTGTTACCTGAAGCTGGTTTCCGGGACTTGTTTTTAAGTGAATCCCCTGGGGGTAGGGAAGCAGGGACAGTTTAATGAAAGCCTCTTGCTAAATAGGTCCTTACAGGATACATAGAGGGAAGATGTCCATGTGAAGATGGAAGTAGAGATTGGTGTTGTGCTGCCACGAATCAAAGAATGTCAAGGATTACTGGCAACCACCAGAAGCTGGAAGAGGCAAAGAAAGATTCTCCCCTGGAGTCTTCACAGGGAGCATGGTCCTGCTGAAACCCTGATTTTGGACTTGTAGCCTCCAGAACTGTGAGAGAATAAATGTCCTTTGTTGGAAGCCACTAACTTTGTAGTGTTTGTTATAGCAGCCCTGGGAAACCAACACATGCTCTTTTATTATCTCCATTTTCAGATAAGAAAACAGGCCCAGAGAGGTCAGGTACTCTGAGATCTGTCTAGGCTGCTGCTCTACTGGCTGGGCACTTACTCTGAAGTTCCTGATGTTGCTGTTGTCAGCTCTGCACCTTTGCCATGGCAGTCACACCTTCTGGTAGTGCTGGCACTGAGCTGCTGGAATGGCTCCTTCTCTAACACAGCAGGCCACAGCCTTTCCCCCATTCTTGCCCATTTCATGCCCTAAAGCCAAAACTCCTCTCAGGGGCTTCTGGCTGTAGCCTGATCATTTCAGCAGGTTGCTTTGTGGCCCCACTCTTCCAGGTGAAATCGGGCTTTTATTTTTCATTTCCGGGCAATGTCAGAGAAATGTGGGTGACAGTTGTGGGAAGCGTCACTCAGCTTCCTCTGGCAGTTATTATAATGCTTCCCATTTCTGGCCTGCTGTACTTCCTAGAATTCCTGTCAGTAGATAGACAACTCATGTCTTGATCGTTTTTGGAGCTTCAGGGTGTCTCACACAGCTCACGTGGCCCATACCAGTTCATGGCTGTGAGCAGAGAAGCGGCAGCATCATGACTGCATTTACTCTGAGGGCCCTGGTCACCTGTTCTTGATTAACCCAACATACTACAGTGGCTCTCTTCTCTGCCAAAGTGAGCGGAGGGGATAAGGATGTTATCTGACCCAGCCCATCCCCCTAAACAGCAGCTCCTTATTTGCCCCTGGCCTCTTTTGCTGGCATCCCAGAAGGGATCTCCTCCCTTGGCGTCCCATTGCTGGCTGCAGAATCTTGCCTACTTTCCAATATGAACCTTTTGCTTTGGATCCTGCTCTTACTCTTTTTTGTTTGTTTTAATTTTATTTACTTATCTTGAGAGAGCGAGAGAAAGCACGAGCAGGGGTAGAAGAAGAGGGAGAAGGACAAGGACAAGTGAGAGAAAGTGTGAGCAGGGGGAAGAGAAGAGGAAGAGGGACAAGCAGACTCTGTCCTGAACGCGGAGCTGGAGGTGGGGCTTGAGATCATGACCTGAGCCAAAACCAAGAGTCAGATGCTCAGCCCACTAAGCCACCCAGATGCCCCAGTCCTGCTCCTATTCTTAACAACACACACTAGACTGAGCTCCAGGAACTCAGGAACCATATTTGTTTTGTTTGCTGCTGTATCCCAGGAATGAGCAAAGACCTGACACTTCTCTAGCCCCTCAAGAAGTATTTATTGAATGAAGAACTGAATATTGACCTTGAAGCTTTGGAATCCTGGTTTTCCTTGCTTCTTGATAAAGCCAGCGACCAGATTAAGAACTTCAGAGGCCTAAGCAATAGTAAGATTATGATGTCCCTCATATTTTCAGCCCTCAATATGTATTTGAAAAACAATATTTAACACAGAATCAGTATAAGGAAATTGAGCAAAGTATAAGGAAAATCTAGCAAAGTTCTGTTTTTTATCATGGTGACTAATTAGATAAATATAATTTAAAATATTTGCAATTACTGTCTCTGCTTTGCCAGTTTTCTAAGCACATGCTTTTGGATAATTCTGCCTGGACCAGTCCTTTCCTCCCTTTGGACTTCTTCATTTCGTCTTTATTCCATCTGCTAAAGTTGCCAGCCAGTCCCTTTCACCCCCGAAGGGATATCTGGCTCCTGAGAGCCCCCCAGCTTAGGCTAAATGCCCTGGGCTCATTGAGGGCTTGCCAAGAAAGTCAAGTAGAACATGCACACTGCTAAAGAGTACCTCAGGGAACTTGCATGCTGGGTTACGATTTATAGTCAACATAGTGAATTGTGCCAAGTGATTACACTTGGGCCATTTTTAGTTGTAATAATCTGCTTCTGAGACCCTGTATGTGGAAACCCCAGAAAAACATCCCTTTGGTCCTCCTTCCTGCATCACTGAGAAGATGCAGTCCCACTCTGCCATTAATTAATCTCTGTTATTCTGGCTTTGTTGAAACCATTCAGAGGAGCAAGGTATGATTCTGGAAGTGTAGAGCCCAGGCCTCCTACAGGCTATTCCAAGGTTGTGACCGTAATCAACTCTGTTGCTGTTTCATTTCAAAGAGCTTAAAATAGTGTTGGAAACTTCCTAGGAAAAAAGCACCACTGTAACTTCTTGGCTAAGGAAGCAGTGTGTGCTGGCCAGAGCAGAAGCAATGGCCAAGGTCCCAAGTTCTTTTCTGGACCTGTTTATTTGGGGTGTGATATTCGACAATCTGAGATGCTGTCCTATAGCTCTGATGGTTCATCTTCAGCACAGAGAATGATGTGGGCCATGCCTGTAGAGAGAGAGGCTGACATTGGTCCCCTGTGATCTAGGGGAGCCTCATCATTAGATGTCCTTTCTTTCATTTGAATTTCTAGTTCTTTTTAAAAGTTTTAAAAAATATTTTATTTATTTAGAGGTGCCTGGGTGGCTCAGTTGTTGTCTGCCTTTGCCTCAGGTCATAATCCTAGGGTCCTGGGATTGAGCCCCACATTGGGCTC